TGAAAATTTCATGTCATTAGCACCTCTAGTAATATATTTACTGAGAAAAATGGGGACATGTTCAATACTTATTTTACCCGCTATATACAAACTTTATATTCCAACGCTATTAAGCGATTTTGCTTTTATGAATCTTATTATAATTTGTATTGATTTGCTCCCTAAATGCTTTTGTAAAGTGTCTATTATGTTCATTTTTTCTTTATTCTTTTCATATTCTTTCCTCATATATTTTCTCTCTTCTTTACAACATTCAAATAGCAAATACCACATGTTCTATTGTTTCATCCTTTCCACAATGGATACATTTCCCAGTATCATGTTTTTTTATTTTAAATAGAGTATGATTGAGTCCTGTATGTCCAAATCTTAATCTTGTTATTAATCTTTCCTGCTTCTTCTCCCCCTTTTCATTTCTTCTAATGTCTTTTTGATTCTATAAAACCATCTTCCCCTTCTTTCTTCATCCCACCTTTTCTGCCACTCTTTCTTGATTTTGTGTTTAACAATACTCTTTGCTTCTGATTTACTTGTATATACCATGAAATTAATGGGATTTTGAGTTGCCTTCTTTGCCAGTTTATCTGCCATCTCGTTTATGTGCTGGTTGGTATTCATACAAAAACTACACTTAAACCCATGTTTTGAATTCTGTATAAGGTATGTAATATTTTTAATAAAATGTCTGGTCTGCTATCTGAATGATTGTATTTTAAACTTAATGTGGAACTTGAATCTGCGCGTGGAGTAGAAAAGGGATATTAAAAGGTCAACATTACTTCCTGAAAGGGCGTGGCCAGTTGCTTGTCACGTGATGAGACCCGGAACTCCTCTGTGTAAACACATCTAGTAGCTCAGGTCAGCGCAGTTCACTCAGAATAAGCTAACATATACAAAGTAAAACCGGTCAGAGTTTGAGTCCGTGCCGAGGAATAAATGTGGAGGTGTTTTAAGGCGGACTGAGGAGGACCAGCAGCCGACTGGGTGAGACTGAGAGGTTCCGGTGTTGTGTTGGATGCTAGCAGCTAACTGCTAATGTCAGCCTGTTTAAAACCACCAACTGTTAACAAACTGTGTGAAGGACAGGCTGCACACAGATGTCCAGCTCTGATTGGTCCTGTTGTGTCTCTGCCATGTCCCGGCAGGTTCTGGTAGACCGATGCCGGTCCCTGCCATGGCAGAACCCGCAGTGGACCATCAGAGACGCTTCCAGGCTGCTGTGGACGTCATCCACAACCTGCCTAAAGACGGTACGATGGTCTGTTTCACTGCTCCTGTACACAGTGTAAATATGCAATTAAAACTTATCACCCGCCATGTTTAATGCTCTAATGTTTTAGGCATGTGATGAAGCTGCAGGTGTTTGGGTCAAACCTGGAACAATAAGTATTGTGTTGTTTTGTGATATATCTAAGAGTAGAACTGGTCAAAGGTGACCTCAGCTACTGTAGCTCATTGCCAAACTGTCTGCAGTTTTAACCTTTGATCAGCTTTCTGTGGCAGCCATCTTGAATCAGATTGACTCAAACGAATCACTTGTTAAAAAATGTAGTCTGGATTTGGAAATCCCGTTCCTTGCTCTCCAGGATCAAGGAATCTGTCTTACTTTTATGGCAGTTTTTCAAAGCAACTTTAGACTGGATCACCCTGATTCAGATCCTCTGTTTTCAAGATGACCAGGGGTCAGATTTATAAAACTGGCGTACGCACAATTTGAGCCCAGAAACTTGCGTACGCCACTTTTTACTCCAAGGTTGTGGTTTATAAAATCCAAACTTTATATGAAAATGTGCGGTGCCTCACAGCTCTGACCCATGTGTACGCTCATTTTGGAGACGTGAAACTGTGACACAGATGGTGAAGTGAGGAATTAGAGCCACACTGTGTAATGATCGCAGTCAGATATTTAATTTACCTTCAGAATCAGACTTAGATTTTTATTCAACTTTGTCATCAGCTTTCGCTTCTGCTGCTGCTGCTGAGCCATGAGGACCTTTGAAATAAAAAAAAACTTAAATCTTAAATAAAAGTTCCCGTGCGCAACTCCCAGACCCCAGGGGTCTCATTATAAATGAGACCCCTGGGGT